GACTTCTCGTGAAGGTAACTTGGAAGAAGAATCAGCTTACGACAAAGATACAAGCGAGAAATCGAGCACTGATATTTCGGACGAAGAGCAGAGTTCAACTGCGAATTACAATGAGGAGGTAAATTCCGAAGAATTGAACGAGTATCAAGATATAACAGAATCATCTGCGGAGAGTGCGCGCAGCATCCAAGAGGATTATAGGGATTATCCGGAAAGTACCGAGGGTTCTACAATGGATTATACAAATCCCGAGGAATATACCGATTCTCAGGAGGACGTCGCGGCTTCAACCGAAGATGGCGAAGGGAGTACTGAGGGTGTCCTAAAATTCACAGACGAATTACCATTATCGGACGATAACGAGGACGAGGAGGCAACAGAAGAATCGCTGACATCTAACGAAAATGATGCGCACGATTACGTCGACGACAATTACGAGCCGGAAAATTACAAGACAGAAATTGCGATGAAATCGGACGAATTTGAAGAGGATAAGAGTGAGGAAAAGAACGATGAAGAGAAGAAAGATACGTCAGCGAAAGATCCCGATCGTATGAAAAATATAGAGAATAGTGATGATAGCATCGAAGTAGAAACGCAGACAGATCACGTGGCCGGCATCACGAAGATTAAGGATCTCGGAGAAATCGCAAGTTTAACCACAACTTCATCGACCACAACACCGGCATTAACTACGACGACATCGAGCACAACGGAATCGACTACGACGACGTCGAGCACAACGGCGTCAACCATGACAATCTCAACCACAACAGATTCGACTATAACGGCATCAAGCTCGACTCCGATCACAACTACGACTGCTCGATCGACGACCATCACTCGTCGACCGAAAACTACCACCCCTCGTGCCACGCCACCGAAAATCTTTAAACCTACTGGGAACAAAAGGATTTATGCTTACATTCCTCCTACAACGACTCCGAATCCGGTCGTAATCAAACCGAGATTAGGTCTATTTAATCCGAAGCCGGCGAAACCGATTAAATCTTATAACGAATTGGCACCGAAACCAACGATCAGGAAGCTCATTTTACCTACACGAAAATCTACTACCACTACCACCGAAGCTATTACTACTACAGAAATGTTGAATACTGACAATCCGGAAATAATGACGGAGCCTGTGATAATAACGACGGTAGCATCGACGACGGCAGCATTGACAACGACAGCAACGATGGCAACAGCGATGACGACAGCAGCAACAACAGAAACGATGGCAGCAACAACGACAACGGGAGCAACGACAACGGTGATAGCGATGACGACAACGACGGAATCTAGCAG